CGAAGTTTATCTCGGTTTTAGTGCGCAACCTGTACAAGTATTTACTGATCATAACCCGCTGGTTTTTGTCTCCCAAACGCGCAATTCCAACCATCGACTGATGCGCTGGTCTCTGCTTCTGCAAGACTTTAACTTGCAGATTAACTATAAAAAGGTAAGGATAATGTACTAGCTCATGCTTTGTCTAGAATTTTTTAGTGTTCTCATTTGAATTAAACACTTTGGGGTGTGTGTTTAATTCTTGAGAAAGGGGGTGTTACGACTGACGGGTCAAGTTAATTATAAACATGAGTGTACAGGTGCCCGTCCCTGATTGGTTCCAAGAAAATGACGGAGAGATTCAATTGGCTGCCTTCCGGAGGTGACGGACATAAAAACTGCTGAAGCGGACTTCCTGTGATCCATCCTCTATTCACCTCCACCGGTCACACCTATTTCTTTTGTTCACCTGTTGTCAGAGTTCTGGAGTGTAGGAGTGAGCTGCTGTTTATGTTTCCTCAGTTTTCTCATGTTTTTCTTAGCTAGGAAGGTAAGTTTTTGTCCTTTGGTTTATTTACTTTCGATTAGGTAAGTTTCTGTTGCTATTTAGGTAGTTTCCTTTTGTTTGTTGTTTTCGGCTATAGCTCACTCTGAAGCCAAATACTCCATTTGTAACATCTTTATCAAAAAAAATACATCTTTTTAAAATAAATAATTATCAACAGTTCAACTTCGTGTGTGTCAGTTGTTGAGATCAGAGGAGGATGGATCCTTCATGTTGCAACCTGGCCACCCCTAGACTGGTCGTAACACCGACCCAGGACAAAGACAGTTCTACTGTGATGACTAATGACAAAATGTCCACAAAGGCAACACAACATATGACTTACGGCAGGGTAGACAAGGATCCAACAAGAGACGAGACAATGGGTGACATTAAATACACAGGGGGTAATCACAGAATGAGAGACAACTGGAAACAATCAAGACAGGATGGCACAGAGACTCACAGAAACAGAACCAAAAATAAACACAGAGAACTCAAATCACTACAGTGATAACTCATTACACATCATGGGAGTGATGGATGTAAACAGTTACATGAGATACATTCCTAATTCAGCCATGGTGCTCATCATCTATCAGACAGACATGTTAATGGTCTGTCTTGAAAAAGTTAAATTCTACATCAGTAATAGAATGCCACTTCCTTTCCTGCTTTCTCAAACCATCCTTCAATGTGCTTAGCTGTGAACAGAAGAATGAGCTGCCCCCTGTAACATGTTATCTTTATTTTCTAAGCGAGAGTTAGGCTTGGGACACACTAGTGATGGGTGATGTTGCCAAAAAATGTTATTGTGATGTATATTTTTAAATAGCTCCCTAACAGTATCACAGACAATATTCCACATTTTCTGTTCTTTCTTTTTTGGCCAAACTAAATCCAAAAACATGTTTTTACTTCAAGGCATATATATACATATTTGTTTCACAAAATGTTAAAAAGTGTTTCACCCCTCATGTTTTTGGTCATACAAATGACTTAAAATCTTCTGGAGAGAAATGTTTGGGGCACAAATAGGCCATTTGGAAGTTGTGTTGTGTTCCAGCTCTCTCCCACTGCACTTTTCAGTTTTTTGTTTTTTTCATTTTCATGTGGGAAGCAATCCAGACTCACCTGTTTTATTTATTTATTAATTTTATTACAGCCAATAATAACACAGTGAGCTATCATCTAAAATTACACCAGTCAAAGCAATATGACAACCAACAACTCAGGTAAAGTTAGTCTTTCTGTGTTTACGCTGTAGATTCCAGAATGGACCTAACATCAATCCAGCAGGTGAAAAAATGGCGACTTGCTTGTGTGACAAATTTAACAAAATATACATTTTTTAAGTAATCCTGAGTTTTGGCATATCACAAACAGTAATTTTTAAGTTAATGAAAAATAACATGTGGATCCACATGTATGGTGTGAATTATGTTTTCAAAGAGACTGGTTTCCACCTACAGATTGTAAAAAAAGACAAAGTAATACCCAACTTCAGTCTGCCAGCTTATGTCCAGTTCTGTCCCACTTGGACCTCAGAAAACTTTCCAGTCTCCATTAGATGGCTGGCCTTTCAGTGTGAATACCCATGTAGTGTCAGTAATGATACTGGTTCTTTCAACAAGCCCTTTAAGTGGCAACCAGGACTCGGGACTCATTTGTTGGATGGCCTGAATGGAAACATATCTTGTTTCTATTCTCTAGGCACATGCAGAACGAGAGCTCAGAGACTGCAGAGCCCCCTGTAGACTGTAGTCTTCTTCTTATAGTTCACAACAACACATCTTCTCCCAGAGACAGGGAAAGTGGCCTTGGTCTTTCTATTCAATGATCATTCTTCCCACGACCAGACATCACATTTTTAACAAAATTCTTCTTATGCTCCAGCAGCTATTCTGCTAAATATTTGTGACAAATATGAATATAAAGAACATGCTGAATTCTTTTGAAGCACTTTGCTGGGACCCCAGCAGGAGGTTATAGCAGAGGATGTCGCCAAGTTATGTAAAATGTGTGTGAGATAAATATGAACTCTGTCATTCAGTCCTCAAAGAAACTAGAGCTAATATACTTACATTATAAGATAATATACTTTGTTNTAAATGAGACGAACTATGTCATTAAGACTCCTGATCGAAAACGAAAAATGAGGGTTTGTCATATTAACATGCTTAAACGTTATGTTTCCAGAGAAGGCGTGGTCGATAAAAACTTTTCTGTAGCCCCTATTTCTGTTTGCTCTGCAACCCCACTATATCAGCTGGCAGATGACGATTTGAGAGAGAACAGCGGTTGCATGCCTATGGCTCGTTTGAGGAACTCAGAAACGTTGGGAAACCTGGAATCCTTTCTATCTCATTTGTCACAACCTGCTCGAAAAGATGTTATTGATCTGATTGAAACTAATGTATTGCTTTTTTCAGATCATCCACAGCAAACATCCGTGCTTTTCCATGACATTGATGTGGAGGTTGAGAAACCAATCAAACAACATGCTTATAGAATAAATCCAACGAAGCGTGTTTTAATGCAACAGGAAGTGGCTTACCTGGTTGAACATGGTTTAGCAGTGCCCAGTAACAGCGCGTGGAGTTCGCCCTGTATTCTGGTCCCGAAACCAGATAAAACATCTCGGTTTTGCACCGATTACAGAAAGGTCAATGCTGTCACCAAAGCCGATTCTTTTCCGCTTCCGAGAATGGAGGACTGCATTGATCGTGTTGGCTCCGCTAAATTTGTTACCAAATTGGACCTGTTAAAAGGTTATTGGCAAGTTCCATTAACATCTAGGGCTTCTGAAATTTCTGCTTTTGTAACTCCCGATTATTTCCTGCAATATACCGTTATGCCTTTCGGGTTGCGTAATGCACCTGCTACATTCCAACGTTTGATGCAAAAGGTATTATTTGGAGTGAAAAATTGTGAAGCATATTTGGATGATGTAGTCATTTATTCTGCTACTTGGTCAGAACATCTGGAAACTCTTTCAGAAGTGTTCAGTCGTTTTCGTGATGCTTCCCTCACGTTAAATCTTTCGAAATGCGAGTTTGGTAAAGCCACTATAACTTACTTAGGAAAACAGGTTGGGCAAGGACAAGTGCGTCCTATTGCTGCTAAAGTGCAGGCAATAATTGATTTTCCTGTCCCACAAACAAAAAAAGATTTGCGTCGATTTTTGGGAATGTGTGGTTTCTATCGCGGGTTTTGTAAAAACTTTTCAGCTGTAGTTAGTCCGCTCACTGAACTTGTTAGTCCCTTGAAAAGTTTTGTCTGGTCTTCATCTTGTCAGGTTGCGTTTGAGTCTGCTAAGGCATTGTTGTGCAGTGCACCAGTGCTGGCTGCGCCAAATTTCGAACGTCCTTTTAAACTCGAAGTTGATGCAAGTTTGTCTGGCGTTGGAGCTGTTCTTCTGCAAGAAGATGAGCAAGGCATAGATCATCCTGTCTGCTACTTTTCAAAAAAGTTTAACAGGCATCAGCTTTATTACAGCACAATTGAAAAAGAAGCTCTTGCTTTATTACTTGCATTACAGAACTTCGAAGTTTATCTTGGTTCTAGTGCGCAACCTGTACAAGTATTTACTGATCATAACCCGCTGGTTTTTGTGTCTCAAATGCGCAACTCCAACCACCGACTGATGCGCTGGTCTTTGCTTCTGCAAGACTTTAACTTGCAGATTAACTACAAAAAGGGTAAGGATAATGTACTAGCTGATGCTTTGTCTAGAATTTTTTAGTTTTCTCATTTGAATTAAACACTTGGGGGTGTGTTTAATTCTTGGGAAAGGGGGTGTTACGACTGACGGCGTAAAGTCAATTATTAAATGTTGAGTGTGCAGGTGCCCGTCCCTGATTGGTTCAAAGAAGACGACGGAGATGTCCTATTGGCTGCTTTCCGGAGGTGACAGACATAAAAGCTGCTGAAGCGGCTATCTCCACCTATCTCCACCGGCCACACCCCTTTTCTTTGTTCGTCTGTGTTTGAGTTCTGGAATGTAGGAGTGAGCTGCCGTTTATGTTTCCTCAGTTTTCTCATGTTTTTCTTAGTTAGGAAGGTAAGTTTTTGTCCTTTGGTTTATTTGCTTTCGATTAGGTAAGTTTCTGCTACTATTTAGGTAGTTTCCTTTTGTTTGTTGTTTTCGGCGATAGCTCACTCTGAAGTCAAGTACTCCAGTGGGAACATCTTTATCAAATACATCTTTTTAAAATAAATAATTATCAACTGATCAATTTTGTGTGTGTCGGTTGCTGAGATCAGAGGAGGATGGATCCTTCATGTTGCGGCCTGGCTCCCCCTAGACTGGTCGTAACAACACATTCTACTGGAATTTTCAGAATTGCAACACATTGTCAGTCAAAGCATTTCCTCCGCAACTCTCTGATTGAGCCTTTTAGATGAAGATCGGATGCCTCTTTCCCAACTGGCTGAACTTCCTTTCGTACGTCCGGTTCTGTCTGAGGCAACTTACGCGAAGGGCTCAGTTTCATGGACGTCCAGGGCGGCTCCCCGTATCCTGCCCTCCTTCAGCGCCTGGGCCAGAGCTTTCTCGTCCACCAGGCCTCCCCGCGCTGTGTTGACCAGGAACGCGCCCTGACGCATCTGCGACACACAGACAAAAACAAAGAAAACAAAAGAAAACATTGTTAAAAATCGGAGAGTCCGCCTGTCTTTTCGACTATTTGCGTGATCGAGAGCTGATTATCAGACTGCGTGCTTCAGGTTTCGCATCTAAAGACCTGAAAGATAACGATGGGGGCGGATGTGGGATGCGGGACAGGGACGAGCTGGAAGACGAGAGAGCGCCACCAACGTTTTGGTGTTTGTGGAACGAAAAGTCGTACAACAAATGTGACGGGGAGAAAAATAAAGCCAATGTGCTCAGATGAGAGTAATACCTTCATCTTGACAAAAGCCTTTACACTGGCAGGCAGTCTTTAATTATTATCCATTTTAGCAGCTGAGAAGAACCGCCAACATGTTTTTTTTAGACGCATTAGTGAGGAAAAAGTGTCGCTTCATCGCAGCACTTAAAGAAGCAACTGAGAGCCATGAGCTTCGTAGAAATATGTATTTAACTGGGTTAGGCTGTTACTCCCACTCCTACTTATCTCTTCACGCATCCAGAACATCTCAATAAGGAGACTCGAACGCCGGGGAAGGAAAGCGCAGTCGTTCGCACGCCGACGCAGTCCCTCAGCTTCCCTGCAGATGTCGCCTCAGACGGCGAGTCGGAGAGCAGCTCTGTCCCCTCCGCCTCCCGCTGTGCAGCCAGTCAATATATTTGCTGTAGCCGTGGGCTGGTGCTAATTGCATTTGACAGAGCAAAGGAATGAATTTGTGTCCAGCTTTAGTGGAGCTTCAGATAAAGAGCTGGTTCTTTTCTTTTTTGTCTTCACCCCAATTCACTCTCTGCTTTGTTTTAGGTCGGGACATCCTACAGGCTGGAAGCGTGATAAAAATACAGGCTCATCAGGGCCCACTTACCAGACATCGCTGCTTTATGTTCAAGTCAGGGCAGTGCACTGATCACTTCAGATTTAACTTCTACCCTCTGAGGGTTTTTTTTCCCCCCCCTACTATCCATGTCTGACCTTTTAAGTCCAGTCACAGCTACCTCAGAAATATCCACGACTTTATAGTTTTGATGTGTTATCCCAAGAGAAAAACTCGAACGCCTGTCAACGTGCAGTGACATGAGAGTATTTTTTTTTTTTTTTTACTTTTTTGCTTTCTTGACACGCATAAATGTTTCAGATCATATGGATGTTAACTTCAGACAAAGATAACATGAGTAAACAAAAAGATTATAAAAAAAAAGATTATTTCCTTTATTATGAGAAGAAATATATCCAAACAAACCAAATCCAATGTGAAAAAATAAAAAAAAAAAAAAAAAAAAAAAAGTAACGGTTTTCTGTGTTTCAGACATTAACTCTTTTCTTTTCGGAATTGCCACTGTGACCCAATACAGACATCAAAGTTGGAGAGACGGGTGTTTTCTTGTCTTGACAAATTTTCAAATCAAAAGGCCGGTTACTCTTGCATTTCTTCAATATTTGTTGAACATGCGGTGTAACTGCGAGACCTTCAAAACAAAAACACAAGGATATTTGTACTAAAAGACTCAACAGCTTTATTAATAGCATAGAGTAGAAATAACTTGAGAGCTGTCGTTTGTGCAGTTCTTTTAGGTGAAATTAATCAGAAGTAAACACCTTAGTTAATTAAATAAATTCTTGATTACGTTGATTACAAGATCCTCTCGGTTGGTTCTCGTCCTTCGGAGTGATTTCGGATAGATTCTGAGACGGAACTATTCACCACGCACCGCCCCAGTTTAACACGTTAGGCTGTTTTCACCTGTTTGATGGTGAAGTCGTTGATGAGATGGTGGTTGTGCTCGTTCAGGTTGCAGTGCAGGGAGACGCAGTCGCTCTGGTAGAGCAGGTCCTGCAGGGTGTAGACGCGCTGCACGCCCAGCGAGCGCTCCAGTCCGTCCTGCAGGTACGGGTCGTAGAAGATGACGTTGAAGCCGAAGACCTTAGCCCGCACGGCCACCGCCTGACCCGAACGACCTGCGGGCGCAAATCATTTGCGTGAGTGCGTGGTCCAAATGTGTGCTAAGGAGAACATTAGTGAACAGATGGCCTTGAATTCAGACCGAGGAACATGGCATTCAGGCCAGTAAATGACATGTAGCTTTTCTTTGTCGGAACAATAATTGTCAATTAAAAATAGTTTGATCGTGATTTGGATTTCTGATGCAGATTTTTGCGCAAACACCTCTCATCTTCAATGCAAGGGTCTCAAATCAGTTCATGACTGGTGTGTAACAATTTCCGCCAGCGAAAGCTGCTTTCCTCGTCTTGAGGAGATTAAAATCATTGAGGAATTTAGGGAAAGTCGTGACACAGAAATCATCTCACACAGCGAGGTAACAGACAGTGATTCAGAGCGGGACTCTGCCGCACATATTAAGCCTCTCCGTCTCTTGCGGCCATGTGTTGTGTAGGATGAGAGTCTCCTCTCGAGTTGTTGGCCGGAGGAAGCGTTCTGCTCGGCGGCTGCAGAGCAAAAGGAGAGCTGTCTGGTGTTAGCTGCGGAAAGGATTGATACGGCGTCCTTTATGCTCTCTGGGACTCGTCAATCTGTGATGGAGCGTCGCGTCCATTAAGAGGAGAGAGGATTCAGAACGGGGCAACATAAAGTTGCAGCTAAATTAACAGCTAATTATTCAGTCATTTTCTAAATAGGTTCTAAAGCGACGGATGACGAAGTGTTTCTAACGTGATGAGTCGTTTCACTTTTAGACGCGCCCGGCTTCGGTTTCTGTCGTAGCTACTTTATACCCTGGTATTTCCTGAGCGCACTTGAGCTCCTCAGAGTCGAGGAATCAGGGTTCCTGCACATATTTGAGGACCGATTTTCAAACGTTTCCAAGCTCAGATGAGCAGACTTTCCTTATTCATTTTAAATGCACTAACGGATAATTACGGATGCTGCCCTTGACCTTAAATTCTACCCAAGTTACCAACGTTAGCCTGAAAAAAAAAAAAAAAAAATGGATGGATGGATGAGGGATAAAAGCCAGCAGAGAGCTTTGGCTGGGCTCAAGGAAATATCATCTCAGATGTATTCTATGAGTCGTAGAAAAAGGAATTCATGTTTACTACTTAAAGACATAATGTTCAATTCATTCTGTCTCATTTTTTTCTTCCTCCATCTTCTCTCCTCTCTGCTATATACTTTTCATTTTTAGTTTTCCTTCTTAGAACAGTTTCTAGATGATATTCCTTCTCATAGAAGGCCAGTCATGAATATGTTGTTACAGTTGATCACTTGAATACAATTTCAAGTATTTATCTAATAAAAATACATATTTTCTTTCCAATACATTGGCACTTACTGAATTACTTAAATTGGGGAATCAAATGAAAAAATGTATGAAACTTATATTAAAATCATACAAAGAAATTTATTTTTTTAATTATTTTTTTTGCGCTAAAGTACACCATGAATTAATTTAAACTGCTCTTGTGTCTCACTTAGTAAACCTTGGTTAACCTACACTGAGTGGTTTCTTTTTTTTTTCTTTTACATAAAATACAAATCAAAAAGTAATTAAAAAAATATTTCAACATGTCTTTAAGATCAAGATGCATAGATTTATTTGCCACACGAATTTCCAGGTGTACTGCAGTTTTCATATCCATCAATAACAATTTGGGTCCTTTTGCAGTATTGAATTGTGGCACTTCTGGCTTTCCTTAACCTACAGAAAGCAAATCGTTGATATTTCAGGATACTGCTAGTGTGAGACGTGTATATTTGCACTCCAAATCTCATAACGGGAACCGTTCTGCAGCAAACGAGGTTCTGCAGCAATATATCCCAATTTCATCCACGGCCGCTCACCACCAGACAAAAGATGCCAGAGATGTGTCTGACTTGGTGCTAACAAGTTTGTTAGCTCCGTTAGAGCAGAGAACACAGAAGCGGGAAGACCAACTGCGAGGGGAAGTGGTTTAGGGAGTGAACTGAGGCGTGTTTGTCAGGTGACGGTCGCGGTGCCGTTTATGTCGAAATGATGTGGCAGCTGCCTGACCCAGAGCAGGGACAGACTGTGTTTTCCTCTCTCTGCTGTGGCGCACAGAGTATTTTAGATTTTACTGGCCTGAACTAACCAAAGATAAACCATCTTGATCACTACTTGTAACTTAAATACTAATACTACATTTTTATTCACAAGCAAGCCTCTTTTGAAGGAGGAAAATTATACACTGGCCATAATTTGATAGTCGAAGGACCCAGTTCCAGATGCCACGGGAACGAGTCGATTGTCCCATTTGTCCCCTCCCTGTCAGAGAGATTAATAGCTAGACAGATGCATAACAAATGACAAATGGACGGATGGATGATATAGAGATGGATGGACAAACAGATGGATGAACAATCAAGCAATCCATTTACTCCAGACTTTTCCAGACGGTGTGAGAACTCTGAGGAATGAACCGATCGCCATCCTCTGTTGTTTCTGATTGCAGCCTTAAAACTGTCCCGTCAGCAGCAGGAAGGGAGTGTCTGCAGGTGGTGTGAGTCATAGCAGTCTGTTCTGAAGCTTAAAAAAAAAGAAGACGTTCTCATGCAGCTGCAGGCTTCTTCAGCCATTTTCTACCTATATAAACCTTTTTATAGTTGAAACAGAATCAGATTTATTTACAGCTGATGCATTGAGCATAAAACAATATTTGCTTTTGTGGCACCACGGCTGTAATGGAAGCTATATAAAATACCCGAGCATCAAAGCTCGTTTCCGTTCGGCTTCTTCATGCGGCTGATCAATACCAATAACTGTAAAAGAACCAGAGGATCTGTCGCCCACGGGAGCGCTTCGATGTGTGGCTCATTCTCCTCGACTCGACTTTTTGGCCTTGTGTCGCCGACCTATTCACAGAGGAAGAGTGAAGACGAAGACCGCCGAATGTTACGTGAGGTTAAAACAGATTCCTGAACTTCGCTTCGTTCTAGCTGTCGGCTAGAACGAAGCTGGATATGACGGAAATTCAAAACAGGGGTGAACTGGACGTATTTAATGCCTTTGACTGATGTGTTGCTTCCAGTACTGAGGAAAAATAAAAAATAAAAATCTAATTTTAATTTGACCTTCAAAAATTCTTAAACATGCATTGATTGCTTATAGTTAGCTCTTGTCCAATGAATTAGTTCGTTATTCAGATAAAGACAACAAAACGAGCTACTTGAATTACTTAAAAACCTAACGAAGCAGAAAAAGCAGCAGTGACTCAGGTTCGACACCTGAAGAACCTTTTGTGTCTGCAGCTGGCAGCCCGAGTCGAGTCCTGCAAGTAAAACTCCAGGAGGCCTTTTGCTTTCCCACTAACAATGGACGCTGTTTTGAGAACTGCTCGAGCCAGAAGGACTCAGGGATGAGGCTGGAAGTAGGAGGACTGGGTAAAAACAAGAGAATGAGGAAGGCGGTTTTCTATGCCAGAGCGCGGTGGCTCAGTGCACAGTCAGTCCGCGCAGCTGTCTGGGACCTGCAGGTTGTGTGTGTTTGTGTGTGGACACAGAGATAAGGTGGCACTCTTCAAATGCTTATGAGAACGCCGAGCATTCGAGTGCCTGGCGATGCTGAGACAGGAGACAATGGATCAGAAACGCAAACCCCCTAACAA